AAAAAAAAAAAAAAAAAAAAAAAAACTCAAAAACTTCCGGGAAAAAAGAAAGTTATGGAGAAAACTAAACTAAACAAAGTTTGCCTGGATACTATATCCAAATGCTTTACCAAATTTGAATGAAAAATCAAATACAGAAAATAAACACTATGATAAAAATAAGAAAAAATGAAAAGAAAATTAAAATGAGTGAGTGTGCCAGCACCTTTTCGACACCACCATTTTTGCCGATTTTTAATTATTTTTTAGCACTGACAAATGCCCTGAAATTTTACAGATATGTAGCTTACATAATCAGTAACTCATAAAAACGTTTTCAAAAAATAATAATATTTTGTAGGCCCCGAAATAAAGTGAAAACAAAAAGGCAGCGTTTGGATGACAGAATGGCGGTTTTGTCGTTCCCTCCTCTGCTGAATTCGACAACTGCCACACAAACTCCTCTCCTAAGTCACATGCGCGCAACCATTGCCGCAATCCCGGCTCTGCCCACTTTCGTTGGCGATCCCACAACGTCTCCTTTTGCGCAATCCGCTGTGGTTTCTTCTCGTCCTCCATTTTCTTCGCCCATGGGCTCTCTCGCAGCGATGTTGCCGACGCCTTGATCCGCAAGTCAGACCATGTGCGGTGTCCAACAAAGTCGTTCGGACGCCACGCATCCATTTGCTTTGCCGCGGTCGTTCCCGTACTCGGGCCATGACAACACCGACGCGGTTCCCGTTGCGGGTGTCTTTGCGTTGGATCCCGTTCATCTAACAGAAGAGACACGATCGTCGATCGAAGCAGTGCAGCCGACATCATGCACTCCAGTTTCCACCAACCGTGCACGCGATGTTCTTTCGCCGTCTAATGATAGCGAGGCTGGGATGAGTTTCTCGCCTCGGTCGCCCCGTACGAGGTCCAGTACACCTTGTGAAGGCAAGCCTCGCTGGGTGTGATGCAGACTTGATCAGCAAAATCGTCTGGGTGAGATTGCAAAGGCGATGGGGAAGAAGTTGTCGACCATACTCGCGGCTCCAAAGATAAGAAGAAAAATCATTGTTCGTACGAGGACGTGTTTGATCAAGTCCTGGAGTGGAGTTCCGTTCACGTTAATGAACTGATGTCAAAGTACGGCCCCGACGAGCAATCGTCTGCCCATGGGGGTTCATGCGGACAAGGATTGGACTCAACGGCGACACCGAAGTCAAGAGGTGGTAGACCTCGCAGTGACGCTTTGAAATGGCGCGACGTTAAGCCGGGATATTCGGATAATGGTCCGATGTTTGAGAGGTTGAACGTGAGGGACCAAATGGCCATGCGGGATGCTAAGGCCAGACCTGATGTCGTTTTGATTGAGCCGGTGAAACTTCTACAGATTCTCAGAATGTTTGAGCAAACGTGTCCTAAGCACGGGAAAGACATGGAGGTGACGATCACGAAGATAGATTATCTATGTCACATCTGCAAGTTGCAATTCGAGCATGGGAAAGAGTGTACTTGGCACTGGAGTTCCGCGAAGGTTGTTTCACCGGGTGGGGTGAGAAATTCGAGGGTGGAGACTCAATTGTTCCACTCCACTTTGAGTGCGGGAATGACTTACACTCAATTGAATAACCTCCTGCAGGGCTTAAAGATGAAGAAGGTTAGGAAAGAAACTTTCTAAAATTTCTTCCATAAGGACGGCCCAGGTTCTCGATAGTGGTTGCGACACATCGAACGGGTTACGTGAAAGAGCTTCGACAAGGTCATCGCCCAATTGCGCAGCTCGAACGATCCGGTCGTCGTTTTGATGGATGGGCGTTACGATTCGTCTCGTGATGCTCAGCATTGTATGGTGACGGCGGTGGATTTGAAGTCAGGAATGATCGTGGGGACTGAGACCATGCTCCGGGGGAGCGAGTCGTCTTGGAAGCTGGAAACACAATGTGTGGAGAAACTGCTTCATCGGTTGAAGGACGAGAAGAACCTCATAATCGCAGAGGTTGTGTATGATGATTGTGGCGCGGTTGACGTCATATTGCGGCGAATGAACATTGACTCGCAAAAGTGTATGTGGCATAAGACAAAGACTTTGGTCAAACGCTTGCGAGAGGCTGTGCGCGGCACGAAGACTGTCAAACCAGCTGTGGTCGAGGCTTGTGAGCATGTGCGCGAGGTGAAGTGTTTCACAAAGAAGGCGCTCGAACTTTGGCTCGAAACGAAATTTGTACGCGAAGCAGGGGTGTCCACGAAAAAAAAGGATGAACTCGTTGAGATTGTTTGGGGTGTGCTCTTCCCCGACGAAGCAGGGAAGGCGTTGCCAGATGATGTCGTCAAGATCGACGCATTGCAAACACTGCATTGCAATGCGGTGAAGGAGGCGAAGGAGTGGTTGTACGGCGCTTGCAGGCTGCGCGAGCGCGCAAGGGATGACGATGGCGATGTGTTGATCACTCATGTGCAACACCTCGCCAATCATTGGGCCGGGGATCAGTCGCGTTGCGATAATGAGTTGTCCAACCTGTGCAAAGCGGTCGGTGGTCCGGACAGAGAGCCATTGTACGAGGCGGGGGGACGTGTTCATTTGACCATCGCGCGGTGTTTTGAACAGTTCGCTTCTAATACGAAGATGGCATACTACACACGTGCGAGGATGACCTTCAACAACGAGTGCTTCCACTCCGTGATTAACAAGTACTGCACGAAACGCCTGAACTTCCCCAAGTCATATGAGGCGCGCGTCTGTTGCACCGCTTTGGAGTGGAACAAAAACAAACGAATCAAGCGATTGCGCACAGTCTTCTGCAAATCGACAAACGTAACCCATCGACGTCGATCCGCACGACAACATATATTCGTTGCCCGGGATACGTCGTGGCGCTTCGACATTGCAACTGAAGTTTTCGGCAGCCCTCGAGTTGGTGACTGGGCACGTAACATGTTGCAGCAATCGGACGTCGACGACCCAGTTATTGAGCATTATGATGAGGAAGCTGATTATGGACTCCCTGATGCCGTTGATAGTGCGGTGGAGGGTGTTGTGGCCTAAGCTGACAACGTTTTCGTAGAGCCGGGAAGCAAAACTGCTTCAGATGACAAAAAGTCGTCTTCCGACTCCGACAATGATGGTGCCGCTCACCGCCTCGACTTTGACGGCGCCCTGCTTTCGCATGAGGTGTCCGTTGCGCAGGAGTGATAGTGTCACGTACTGCATGGATGCCATTGTCGTCGTGATATATATATATATATATATATATATATATAGAGAGAGAGAGAGAGAGAGAGAGAGAGATGAAGATGACGAGAAAGACGTTCGTACTTTTTGCATGTATCAATTTTGCCACGGGGCCACATATCTACATATGATCTCTCTCTCTCTCTCTCTCTCTCTCTCTCTCTCTCTCTCTCTCTCTCTCTCTCTCTCTCTCCCGCAGGAGGTGTCCGTTGTGCAGGAGTGATAGTGTCACGTACTACATGGATGCCATTGTCGTCGTGATAATCATGAGAATTTTATGTCCTCAATTTGAATTGGTTGTAATTTTGAAATGCTTGTGAAAACTGGTTGTGACAACTGCTTTTCATGTTTACTAATTGTATATATGTTTTTTGTACACTCTGTGATAACTAGTTGTGAATATATATATATATATATATATATATTCAGCCTCCTGATGAGTCGGTGAAACTCCGACGAAACAGTTTGTCACAGCCCCTCGTTTGTTGTCTTCTTCTCTCTCTCTGCCTACGGTTTACCGGGCAGTTCTATTTGTGACGATATATATATATATAGATATATATATTTAT